GGGGGGGGGGCGGCCCGCAGTGTTCCCTCTAAGCTGAGTCAGCGTGAGCTAGGGTTGCCAGCCTCCAGGTGGGGCCTGGGGATCTCCCGCTTTTACAACTGATCCCCAGCCGACAGAGATCAGCTCCCCTGGAGAAAACGGCTGCTTTGGAGGGTGGACTCTATGGCACTGTACTGTGCTGAGGCCCCTCCCCTCCCCAAACCCCGCCCTCTCCTGGCTCCACCCCCCAAAGTCTCCAGGTATTTTCCAAACCAGACTTGGCAACCCTAGTGTGAGCTTGTGGTGGTGGTGGTTGTTCAGCCGCACAGTCGAGTCCGACTCTTCGCGACCCCCCTGGACCAGATCACGCCAGGCCCTCCTGTCTCCCGCCGTCCTCTGACTTATTAGACACTAAAAACAAACTGAAACCAATAGAGGTCTTAGGTAAAGGTAAAGGTAAAGGTTTCCCTTGCTCGAAAGCCAGCCGAGTCCGACTCTAGGGTTGCGGTGCTCGTCTCCGTTTCCAAGCCGAAGAGCCAGCGCTGTCCAAAGACGTTTCCGTAGTCATGTGGCCGGCATGACTAAACACCCAGGCGCACGGAACGCTGTTCCCTTCCCACCGAAGGGGTACCTGTTTATCTACTTGCAATGTCTTGCTTTCGAACGGCTAGGTTGGCAGGAGATAGCGGTCTTAGAAACACAAAATATTGAGATGTCGTGGTTTCAAAAGCTGCAACTACAGTCAAGATTTAAAGAAGGCCGGAAAGAGGGATTTTAGGAAAAGCCGACACACAGATTGGGTTAAATTCGGGAGGAAAACTTATTTAAAAAAACCTATATGAATGTTTGTTAGACTTTAAAGAAGAGGAAGACCACTGAGATGGACTGTCTGCTGGCAAACGTTCTTAGTAGGCCACCTCAAGCAACTAATGAAGGGTTACCAGCACCGTATGATTCTATGATTCATTTGTATTTGAATTGTTTTAAATGATTTCATGTGGCTTTATTGGTATTTTGTACCAACTGTGTAAGCCGCCCTGAGCCTGCTCCTGGGGAGTTGTTGTTGTTGTTGTTCAGTCGCACAGTCGAGTCCGACTCTTCGAGACCCCCTGGACCAGCTCCCGCCAGGCCCTCCTGTCTTCCGCCGTCCTCTGAAGTTGGCTCAATTTCATGTTTGTTGCATCTGTGACACTGTCCAACCATCTCATCCTTTGCCGTCCCCGTCTTCTTTGACCTTCAGTCTTTCCCAGCATCAGGGTCTTCTCCAGTGAGTGCTCCCTTCTCATTGGGTGGCCAAAGTATTTGAGCTTCAGTTTCATTATCTGGCCTTCCAGGGAACAGTCAGGGTTGATTTCTTTTAGGATTGACTGATACGATCTCCTTGCAGTCCAAGGGAATCTCAAGAGTCTTCTCCAGTACCATAGTTCGGCCTTCCTTATAGTCCAACTCTCGCAGCCATACATGACTACTGGGAATACCATTGCTTTGACCATGCGGACTTTTGTTGGCAGGGTGATGTCTCTACTTTTTATCATGCTGTTGAGGTTCGCCATCGCTTTCCTCCCAAGGAGCAGGCGTCTTTTAATTTCATGGCTGCAGTCACAGTCTGCGGTGATCTGGGATCCCAGGAACGTGAAGTCTGTCACTACTTCCACGACTTCCCCTTCTATTTGCCAAGGAGTGATGGGGCCGGATGCCATGATCTTAGTTTTTTTGATGTTGAGCTTCAAGTCCACTTTTGCGCTCTCCTCTTTCATCCTGAGCAAGAGGCTCTTTAGGTCCTCTTCACTTTCTGCCGTTAGAGCTAGCTCACAGTTTTTTAGCCTCCGGCTCACACATTTCTGTCTCTGCTCAGGAAGGAGGGCCCCAGAGCAAACTCATTGATGCAGCAGCCAAATCGCACGCTCACAACTTTAATGCCAGTCACTGACAAAGTAGAATTTTTGCTCACAAGACTCCACAGCTTAGAGGGAACATTGGAGGGGGGGTCCCTTATTTTTGCACAAGGAGTCTGCTATGAGTGCAGTTGCGGGGGTGTGATCCGTGGTCCTCAGGGGAGCTCGTCGGAGGGATTTTAAAGGGGGTGGGTGGGAGTGGGATCCCTGGCTCCTAAAGGAGATTGTTGGGGGAACTGAGGGAGGGGGAGGGGGGTGTCCCCCATGGATTGGAAGGGGGGTTGCTGGAGGATTTTGAGGAGGAATCCCTGGCCTGGAAGGCACATTGTTGGGAGGAACTCGAAGGACGTCCCTGGCCTTTAAGGGAGATTGTTGGAGGGATTTGAGGAGGGGAGGGGGGGTTCTCCCCTGGTTTGTAAGGGAGACTGTTGGAGGGATTTGAGGAGGGGTCCCTGGCCTTTAAGGGAGATTGTTGGAGGGATTAGGAGAGGGGGGTTTCTCCCCTGGTTTGTAAGGGAGACTGTTGGAGGGATTTGAGGAGGGGTCCCTGGCCTTTAAGGGAGATTGTTGGAGGGATTAGGAGAGGGGGGTTTCTCCCCTGGTTTGTAAGGGAGACTGTTGGAGGGATTTGAGGAGGGGTCCCTGGCCTTTAAGGGAGATTGTTGGAGGGATTAGGAGAGGGGGGTTTCTCCCCTGGTTTGTAAGGGAGACTGTTGGAGGGATTTGAGGAGGGGTCCCTGGCCTTTAAGGGAGATTGTTGGAGGGATTAGGAGAGGGGGGTTTCTCCCCTGGTTTGTAAGGGAGACTGTTGGAGGGATTTGAGGAGGGGTCCCTGGCCTTTAAGGGAGATTGTTGGAGGGATTAGGAGAGGGGGGTTTCTCCCCTGGTTTGTAAGGGAGACTGTTGGAGGGATTTGAGGAGGGGTCCCTGGCCTTTAAGGGAGATTGTTGGAGGGATTAGGAGAGGGGGGTTTCTCCCCTGGTTTGTAAGGGAGACTGTTGGAGGGATTTGAGGAGGGGTCCCTGGCCTTTAAGGGAGATTGTTGGAGGGATTAGGAGAGGGGGGTTTCTCCCCTGGTTTGTAAGGGAGACTGTTGGAGGGATTTGAGGAGGGGTCCCTGGCCTTTAAGGGAGATTGTTGGAGGGATTAGGAGAGGGGGGTTTCTCCCCTGGTTTGTAAGGGAGACTGTTGGAGGGATTTGAGGAGGGGTCCCTGGCCTTTAAGGGAGATTGTTGGAGGGATTAGGAGAGGGGGGTTTCTCCCCTGGTTTGTAAGGGAGACTGTTGGAGGGATTTGAGGAGGGGTCCCTGGCCTTTAAGGGAGATTGTTGGAGGGATTAGGAGAGGGGGGTTTCTCCCCTGGTTTGTAAGGGAGACTGTTGGAGGGATTTGAGGAGGGGTCCCTGGCCTTTAAGGGAGATTGTTGGAGGGATTTGAGGAGGGGGGTTTTCCCCTGTTTTGTAAGGGAGGTTGTTGGAGAATTTGAGGAGGGGTCCCTGGCTTGTAAAGGAAATTGTTGGAGGGATTTGAGGAGGCGGTTTTCCCCTGGCTTGTAAAGGAAATTGTTGGAGGGATTTGAGGAGGGGGTTTTCCCCTGTTTTGTAAGGGAGATTGTTGGAGAATTTGAGGAGGGGTCCCTGGCTTGTAAAGGAGATTGTTGGAGGGATTTGAGGAGGGGGGTTTTCCCCTGTTTTGTAAGGGAGATTGTTGGAGAATTTGAGGAGGGGTCCCTGGCTTGTAAAGGAGATTGTTGGAGGGTTTTGAGGGGGGGGTTCCCCTGTTTTGTAAGGGAGACTGTTGGAGGGATTTGAGGGGGTGTCCCTGGCCTGGAAGGGAGGTCGTTGGAGGAATTTGGGGCACTCCCTTCTAGAGCCCTGAGAGTGCGAGGCCAGGGGTCTCCCTTGTGATTACAGGAGAGATTGTTGTGGCAATTGGGGAGGGGGGCATCTCTTATACACAGTGGAGTGCAGAGTGGGAATCATCGGGGCAAGGTGGGGTGCTCTTGGGGTGGGGGGGGCACAAGGTATCCCCAGGAAGAGACCACACTATGAAATTTGGGCCCTTGATCAGTCTTGTGTAGGAGTTTGTTGGGATTTCTTGATCTTTGCTGGAGGTCCGGCTGCAAATTTGGGGAGGTGTCTCTTTAAAGGGATTGGGAGCTGGGTGGCATCGAGACCCAGACTTGGGATCCCTTAGTTGATCTAAGAGAGAATCTCTGGCTTTTGGGGCTCCGTTTCCAGGGCACCAGGCACACTGCTGATCTGCAGAAAGCAGATCTAGTTAGAACGGGGTGGAGGCTGTAGTCCGGTCTGCAGAGTTCTAGCTGGGCAGCGCTAACAGGTTTCATGGGGGTAGGTAGCAGCCGATGACAGGACGGGCTCAGACTCGAGGTGGGCAAATCCTATTTAATGCCGTGGAGGTCAGGAAGTCACTGCGCTTGTTCTTCGAATACAGGAGCTGGAGGCATTAGGATCAGCTCATACGCGGGAAATCCACCCAGCGCTCAACGATGCCGGCTGTAGGACGCTCTTTGGCTCTGAATCCGTCATGGCGATAGCCCCTACAAGGTGATCTCTTCGCTCATTAGCTACCTGCGATGGCCTTGAGAGGTCTGTGGCTCATCAGCCACGAACAAGATGCACGCGGAACTGTGCTCTTTTCCAGGTAATTCTCTCTACTCCCTCTTCCAAGACAGGCGTCCCTCCGGCAGGTCGTTCTCCCCTCCCATCATGAAGCAGAATGCTCTGGGAGTTGGGGCCAGTGAACTATAAGAACCTCCATGGTCAGAGGCAGTCAACCTCTGAATCCCAGTGCCAGGAAGAAACATCAGGGGAAGTCCTCGGCCTCTATGCCCTGTTGTTGGCTGTCAAGAGGAACTGGTTGGCCTCTGTGTGAGACAGGATGCTGGACGAGATGGACCCTCACTGGTCTGATCCAGCAGGGCTCTCCTGATGTTCTCTTCTTAAGGCCTCGGCCTCTGTGACCTGTTGTTGGCCCTCCAGAGGAACTAGTTGGCTGCTGTGTGAGACAGGATGCTGGACTAGATGGACCACCGGTCTGATCCAGCAGGGCTCTTCTGATGTTCTAATAAAGGCCTCGGCCTCTCTGCCCTGTTGTTGGCCCTCCAGAGGAACTGACTGGCCTCTGTGTGAGACGGGATGGTGGACTAGATGGACCACCGGTCTGATCCAGCAGGGCTCTTCTGATGTTCTAGTGAAGGCCTCGGCCTCCATGCCCTGTTGTTGGCCCTCCAGAGGAACTGGTTGGCCACTGTGTGAGACAAGAGACTGAGCTAGATGGACCCTCACTGGTCTGATCCAGCAGGGCTCTTCCCTTATAATCTGCCTTTCTCCCCAATGTGGACCCAAAGCTGCTTAGATCGTTCTCCTCTCCCCCATTGTGTCCTCAGGTAGGTTCGGTATAGCGAGTGTGACTGGCCCAAGGTCAGCTAGTGAGCCTCCATGACAGAGCAGGGGTTCGAACCCAAGTCTCCAAGATCCTATTCTGATACTGTGACCGCTACACAGCCCTGGCTCTCAACACCACAATGCTCAGAAATGTTGCACTAGGGGCAGTGAACCGAAAGGCCATCTCCCTGCGGACGACTGTCTTTATATTGTATACCTCTTATGATTTTCTGTGTGTATTTTGGTCTGTTTTTATGTTTGGTGTTAGGCAAGCATGGAGGAAACCAGAAGAAGGATTGGCAGCCTTAACCATAGTACTGTCATCCTCCTCTGGGGAGGGCCGTGGCTCAGTGGTAGAGCATCTGCTTGGCCTGCGGAAGGTCCCAGGTTCAATCCCCGGCATCTCCATTTAAAAGGACTAGGCAGTAGGAGATGTGAAAGACCTCTGCCTGAGACCCTGGAGAGCTGTAAAGAGGGGCCGTGGCTCAGTGGTAGAGCATCCGCTTGGCATGCAGAAGGTCTCAGGTTCAATCCCCAGCATCTCCAGTTGAAAGGATCAGGCAGTAGGAGATGTGAAAGACCTCTGCCTGAGACCCTGGAGAGCTGTAAAGAGGGGCCGTGGCTCAATGGTAGAGCATCCGCTTGGCATGCAGAAGGTCCCAGGTTCAATCTCTGGCATCTCTAGATAAAAGGACCAGGCAGGAAGTGATGGGAAAGACCTCTGCCTGAGACCCTGGAGAGCTGTAAAGAGGGGGCGTGGCTCAGTGGTAGAGCATCCGCTTGGCATGCAGAAGGTCCCAGGTTCAATCTCTGGCATCTCTAGATAAAAGGACCAGCCAGGAAGTGATGGGAAAGACCTCTGCCTGAGACCCTGGAGAGCTGTAAAGAGGGTTCGTGGCTCAGTGGTAGAGCATCTACTTGGCCTGCAGAAGATCCCAGGTTCAATCCCCGGCATCTCCAGTTAAAAGGACCAGGCAGTAGGTGATGTGAAAGACCTCAGCCTGAGACCTTGGAGAGCCACTGCCTGTCTGAGTAGACAGTACTGACCTCGATGGACCAAAGGTCTGATTTACTATAAGGCAGTTCCATGTGTTCCTGTGACTGAGGACACCCTTGTCAACAACACACTGTTGTAACCACGAGCTGTGAGCATGAAGAGTGAAGGTGTGTACTCTGAAACTGTGTTTGTTAGTCAGGGCACATACTTCGAATAAACTAGAGCCATGTTTCACCCTGACACTGTAAGAATGCCCACCATCAGTGGAGTCCGCCTCATATTTCATTGTGAGTCACTGTCCTGGAAGTGCTGCCTGATTTGAAAGGGGGCAAGGAAGGCCAGAAAAGGGACTCGTACAGAGACACAATCCGTGCCATGTGATCACCTGAAGGGATTGCCTGGTGCGGCAAAACCACCCACCCCTCAGCAGAGGTAAGGTCAGAACGGTGAATCGTGCAGCCGGGCAGGAATTTGGGGCTGACGGTTGCTTTAATTAATTAATTGTACAATAATTAATTAATTGTACTATACCATTTGGGAGTCACCAGCCTAAACTGATCATAGGATGCCACCTGGATTTTGTAGGCGCCTTGATCCGCACAGATCCAGAGGAGTCAGCCGTGTTAAGTCTTCTGTCGCAAAATAGTAAGAAGCCCAGCAGCACCTTTAAGACGAACAAGCTTTTTTGTAGCATAAGCTTTCGAGAAACACATCTCTCTTCGTCTGACAAAGAGAGCTGTGTTTCTCGAAAGCTTATGCTACAATAAAGTCTGTTAGTCTTGAAGATGCTACTGGGCTTTTTACTATTTTAATCTGCGCAGGAACTTCACCACGCCAAGGTTGTTCAAAATGGCTTCCGTCTAGCAAGGCTTTCGCATGAACGCCAGAGGGTTAAAGTGTAAAACAGAAAAGGGTGCAAATCTGTATACAGCCTCCACTGGTGATTATTGAAGTGCCGCAGTAATTGTAGTCTGCGGAACACTTCAGCCGAAAAGGGGAATTAGAGAGACGACAAATAAACCCCTTCCGCCATGCCAGGTTCAAATACCGATTCCACATAATGCCAATTATCCCCTTTTGTTAGTTCCTACTATACTTTAAAGTGACACTGTCAACTTGACATTTGGGAGCGAAATTAATTTTTTTGTTGGGGGGGGGGGGGAATTCTGCTTCTGACAGTGGCGTCTTTTAAAAATAATTACTGCGCAGTGTAGTAGTTAAATCCATTTGTTTAAAAAAAAGAAATTACGGTTTTTCTGCTCTCCTGTTGATACTACAAGGGCGTGTGTGTGTGTGTGTGTCCCGCCCCAAATACAAGGAGAATTAACGACAGGGTTGTGCTTGGGGAGATACAGAAGCAGCTGACTGTCAGTGCACCAATACAAGCAAAGTGTTGGTCTGCAGCCGCACAGTTGTTTGTTTATTATTATTAGTATTAGTATTATTAGTAGTAGTATTTGAATTTCTGGATCGGCCAATCCCTGAGTGCACAAGGCTCTGGGCGATTTGCAAGAGTTAAGAAGAATACAAAATTACATATTAAAATCAAAAGCTCAGTAGCACCTTTAAGACTAACCAACTTTATTGTAGTATAAGCTTTCGAGAAACACAGCTCTCTTCATCGGACGCATGCATCTGACAAAGAGAGCTGTGTTTCTCGAAAGCTTGCGCCACAGTAAAGTTGGTTAGTCTCACGGGTCATTTCGTAGAAAAAGAGGTGCAGGAGCTCCTTAGCATAACTCATTAGCATAGCTTATTTGCATATGCCACACCCCCTGACATCACCGGAAGTGTGTCAGAAGGCAACACCCACCACTTAGGATCCACTGGATTGTTTTGGATTGCTAGCTATTGGGGGGGGGGGCCTGCAGGTCTGTCCTCGCAGAGGAGGGAGAGCTTATACCTGAATAAAACTTGGTCTTAAAGGTTCCACTGGTCTGTTTTGGGCCGGGGGAAGCTCTGCAACTTACCTGGCTGCTTCTTGCTCTGACTGAGGGCTGCTGGGAGCAGGGGGTGGGGCTTGTTGCATGTGCCCGCCCCCTCGGTTCTTTACTGCCGGAGCTCCGCTCCTGTGCGCTCCTGCAGGAAATGACCCCTGGTTAGTCTTAAAGGTGCTACTGAGCTTCTTACTATTTTGCAGCAACAGACTAACACAGCGAACTCCTCTGGATATTAAAATCAACAGTCGGTTAGTCCCAATTTAATCGTCTCTGGATGGCGTCCATAATTTAATCCGAAACCTACTCTGGGCTGTTCTTCTATCCACTGGGCGGGTTAGGCAGGAGGCCGGGGCGGGCAGAATGGAAGAAAAGAGGAGGGTGCCAGCTATGACGGAAAACCATCGCTGCCCTCGACCAAAAGCCTGGTGGAACATCTCTGCTTTACAGGTCCTGCAGAACCGCATGAAGTCCCGCAGGGCCCTGGTGGAAGTCGGCAGAGTGTTCCACCAGTTCGGAGCCAGGGCCGAGAAAGCCCTGGCTCTGGTCGAGGACAGCCGGATATCTGTCTTCTTGGTGCTTGCGGGGGGGGGGGGGCAACAGTGGGAAGGCTTCTAGTGTGCTGGACCTCCTGATGGCACCTGGTATTTCTGGCCACTGTGTGACACAGAGTGTTGGCCTGGATGGGCCATTGGCCCGATCCAACACTGGCTTCTCTCATGTTCTCTTATCTTTAGGGCCAGGGATCACCAGTAAATTGCTCTCAGCAGAGTGTAACACTCTCCCAGGGACATACCAGAGGAAACGGTCCAATTAGAGTTGAGTCCAGTAGCACTTTAAAGGTAAAGGTTCCCTTGCTCAAAAGCCAGTCGAATCCGATTCTAGGGTTGCGGTGCTCATCTCCGTTTCAAAGCCGAAGAGCCAGCGCTGTCCGAAGACATTTCCGTGGTCATCTGGCCGGCATGACTAAACACAGTGTAAGCTTTGGTGTGCAAAGACCAACAAAGTTTCATGCAAAGTGTAAGCTCTCGTGTGCAAAGTGCACTTCTTCAGACAAATGGAACCAAATCTCCCCAAGGGTTATTCACATGAAAAAGAGGGCGGGGGCAGCCTTTAGGAGGGGCCACTGAGAGACAAGATGCAGATGCAGAACTGAAATTGGATCAGGTGGCCGGTAGGATCAACCGATGGCAGCAACCTGGCACATAAATGCAAGACTTAGCAAAAAGATGTGAGAAGAAAGCTAGAGTACAGCAGTACCCTTGAGACAAGCAAGGGGGTGTTAACGCCGCCACTATGTTTCCCCTTCTATCCTGCAGGCGTTACCCCACCGTCGAAACGCGAGCAAAACGCTTCAATGGGGACAGCTACGTGGCCGTCCCAGAAGACGGCCCGTTCCTGAAAGCGCTGCTCTTCGAGCTGAGACTGACGGGCAACGAGCACGGCTTCACCGAGCGTCAAGACGGCTGCGCCCGGATCAACAAGACCTCCGTCTACGCGCTCCAGACCGAACGCGGCGACCTCTGGCCCGTCGTGGCCTTCCAAAAAAGCGGGTCGATCTACGCCGCCATCCCACTGGTCGAGCAGTCCTTGAACCCGCGCCCGGCCCTCGTCAGCATTAGCGGGATCTCCCAGGCCTTCGGCCTCTTGTCGGGGCTGCTGGCCTTCCTGAACTCCAGCCAGAAGAACGAGGCCGAGCGGAGCGCCAAAGTCAGCCAGCTCCCGGGCTTGGTCACGCATTCCTGTCCGCTCGGCACCCCGCTCGAGACTAACCTGAGCGCCTCGTTGTCTGAAATCAGTCCCTTCCCTCCCGGTGGCCACCCCCAGAAACTGCCCAGCTGGAGAAGCTGCCCGTACAAAGGGAAGCCACAAGTTAATATCTGTATCGTTGAAAAAGTCAAGTCTGTGCAGTACGACAAAAGGGACGTGGCGGACACATGGCAGGTGTACGGAGCCGTAAGTTGCAAGGTGAGAGGATTCCGGGCACAAATCTCTCTAACCTATTTGACACATGAATGCACCTGGAAAAGCAGAAAGTCAGCTCATTTTTTATCTCAGCGCACGGGGGAAGCTGAACTTAATTTTTTTTAATACCTCAGCATCCCCCGGAGAAGATACCACTGCTTTTCTTTTCTTTTTTTTAAGATTTGGGAACTGGAGCAGAATAAAAATCTTGCCGACCTGGCTCCCGGTTTTGCTGGCTTGAAGAAGAGTTCAGAGATGCTGTTATCATTCCTGTGTGGCTTTTCGGTGTACAGTTTTCAGCATAGTTTCAGAGAGTAGCTGTGTTGTTGATCTGCAGTAGAAACTAGGGGTATGCAGGGGGGGGGGGTCGTTTTTTTCCGGATTCGAGTGTAATAAAGCCAATTTTTTTCAAGATTTCCTACCCAAATACCAATACCGGTATTCTATTGGTACCCGAAAATTTTTGGTATTCCTGAAAATGTTCGGCTCCATTGTATCCTATGGGGCCATTGTAGTCAATGGCAAAAATCTTCTAATAAGTATTCAGGGGGCTAGGGGTGGAGGGGGTTTGAGGTAGAGGCACCAAATTTGTACTGTAGCTGCTAGAGCCTCTCCCCAAGAGACCCCCCCAAGTTTGGAAAAGATTGGACCAGGGGGTCCAATTCTAGGGGCATCCAAAGAGGGTGCCTCCAATCTTCCATTGTTTCCTATGGGGATGGGGGAAAGGCAGGCAGCAGTATCTCCCTGAAAAAGCTGAAAAAAACCCCAAACCCCCCAAAAAAATCAGCATTCAGTATTCGGCAATCGAATCAGCTCAGGGGATCTGATTCAGTATGCCAAATACTCGAAAAATGCCGAAAAACTTTTCCCGGGGTTTTTTCCCGGTTCGGCTTTACCAAATGCACACCCCTCGTAGAAACAACTAGAATCATAGAGTTGGAAGGGGCCATACAGGCCACCCAATCCATCCCCCTGCTCGATGCAGGATCAGCCTAGAGCATCCCTGACAAGTGTTTGTCCAACCGCTGCTTGAAGATTGCCAGTGAAGGGGAGCTCACCACCTCCCCTGGCAGCCCATTCCACTGTTACACAACTTCTACTGTAAAAAAGCTTTTCCCTATTATCCCGTAGGTACCTTCCTGCCCTTAATTTAAACCTATTCTTGCAAGTCCTATCCTCTGCTGCCAACTGGAAGAGGAGGAGGAAGAAGAAGAGAAGAAGAGATTGGATTTATACCCCGCCATTCACGCAGAGAGCAGCTTACAAACTCCTCTCCCTTCCCCTCCTCACAACAGACACCCTGTGAGGTAGGTGGGGCTGAGAGCGCTCTTTCCAGAACTGTCCTTGAGAGAATAGCTCTGACAGAACTATGGCTTGCCCAAGGTCATCCAGCAGCTGCCAGTGGAGGAGTGGGGAATCTAACCCAGTTCTCCCAGATTAGAGTCCACACACTTAAACACGACACTAAACTGGCAGGGGAAAGCTCCCTGCCCTCCTCTAAGCAACAGCCTTTCAAATACGTTCCCCTGTCAACCTCCTGAGAGCCAGTTTGGTGTGGTTAAGAGCATGGGGGCTCTAATCTGGGAGAACCGGGTTTGAATCCCCACTCCTCCACCTGTGGCCAGCTGGAGTGACCTTGGGTCAGTCACAAGTTTTCTCAGAGCTGTTCTCCCAAGAGAAGTCCCCGAAAGAGCTCTCTCAGCCCCGCCTACCTCACAGGGTGTCTGTTGTGGGGAAGGGAAGGGAAAGGAGTGTAAGTCTGAGACTCCTTCGGGTAGTGAAGGGTGGGGTATAAATCCAATCTCCTCCTCCTCCTCCTCCTCTTCTTCTTTTCCCCACTCCTCCACATGCAGCTGCTGGTGTGACTTTGGGTCAGTCACAAGTTCTCTCAGAGCTGTTCCCTCAAGGGCAGTCCTCGGAAGCGCTCTCTCAGCCCCGCCTATCTCCCAGGGTGTCTGTTGTGGGGAGGGGAAGGGAAAGGAGATTGCAAGATTCCTGTGGGTAGTGAAGGGCGGGGTATAAAACCAATTCTCCTCCTCCTCCTCCTCTTCTGCAGCAGCAGCCATTTTGTGGCTGCACCCACGATGCTGTGTTGAAACTCCAAAGGTGCCCACAGTTCTCAAAAAGTTGGGGGGGGGGCCCCTTCGTTAGACCAGCAGATGCCCTTCTTGGAAGCGGTGTAAACTGTTCACCAGTTTATCCTAATCTGTTCCAAATCCCACGGCTTCAGGAAGGGTCTGAGGATATGTGGAAGATTTTCCTTTTTCTTGTCTTCGAAGTGCGACGTGGAAGGCGCCGCTCCCAACGTGTCGGTCAGCTTGAACCTCCCTGCCAACGGCTCCCCGCTCCAGGATATCTTGGTCCACCCTTGCGTCACCTCCCTCGACTCGGCCGTCCTCACAAGCAGCAGCGTCGATGCTGTGGATGACTCAGCTTTCAGCGGGCCTTACAAGTTCCCTTTGACCCCACCTCCGGACCAGTTCACTCTCTGCTATTATACTTCCCAGGTAACGTCCCACAGTTTTCCTAGGCCAGCGTCTCTGAGAGCCAGTTTGGTGTCGTTGTCAAGAGCGGCAGACTCTAATCTGGGAGAACCGGGTTTGATTCCCCGCTCCTCCACACGAAGCCTGCTGGGTGACTTTGGGTCAATCACCGTTCTCTCAGAGCTGTTCTCTCAAGGGCAGTTCCCTCAGCCCCACCTACCTCACAGGGTGTCTGTTGTGAGGAGAGGAAGGGGAAGGAGATTGTAAGCTGCTCTGAGACTCCGAGTGAAGGGTGGGGTATAAATCCAGCTCTTCTTCCTCTGGAGGGCCAACAACAGGGCATAGAGGCCGAGGCCTTCATTAGAACATCAGAAGAGCCCTGCTGGATCAGACCAGTGGTCCCTCTAGTCCAGCATCCCACCTCACACAGTGGCCAGCCAGTTCGGTGTAGTGGTTAAGAGCGGCGGACTCTAATCTGGATAGCCGCATTTGATTCCTCGTTCCTCCTCCACATGAAGCCAACTGCGTGACCTTGGGTCAGTCACAGTTCTCTCAGAGCTGTTCTCTCAAGAGCAGTTTCAGAGTTCTCTCAGCCACACCTACCTCACAGGCTGTCTGTTGTGTGGAGAGGAAGGGAAGTAATTGTAAGCCACAACGAGTGAAGGGTAGGGTATAAATCCAGTCTCCTCCTCCTCCCTCTCCCTAACCCTACCTCACACGGGGGTTGTGAGTCAGGTTAGGAGGTCTCAAGTAAAGCTCTGCCCCCGGAGTTCAGGTAGGCAACCAGCACTGGGCACTGTGACCAGCAGTACCGCAGGCCCATAGCTACAGTGGGGCATCTCGGGGCATGGCTAGAGATGTAAAATTTCCGGAAATTTTGAAGCTCGGAAAAAAACCCGGTTTTTTTCCCGTTTTTTCAGGGGGAAACCGAAATTTTTGGAAAAATTGAAAAAAATGCTACATTAGCATTTCTTTTGTCTTTTCTAGATTGAAAGTCATTCTGTTACTTTAGGGACATAAAATATGACTATGGACATTTTTACTTGGCATGAAATTATCACAACTAGCATATTAAAACATAGTGTATCCAAACAATGATTACAAACAGAATACCCGCTCACATGCAAAAAGAAAACAAACTTTTTTATTTTCTTCTGACAATCGCACCTCCTAAAGGAAGAAATGTGTCTTGTTCTTGCATTGGAGAGTTCAGTTTGTAACCTAGGACTTGCTTGTCCTCAGTGCACAGAAATTAGATCAATCTGATACCATATATATATATATATATATTCGTTCCACCGGTTTCCCCCCGAATTTTTCCGTTTTTTTTCCGGACCTTCACATCTCTAGGCATGGCCCCCTGACTTACCGCCAAGGCCCCCCCCCCGCCTTCCCATCCAGTCCAGGTGTTCCCTTAGAGGTGTGTGCAGGAGGGGAAGGGAAAGGAGTTTGTCAGCCACTCTGAGATGCCTTCGGGTAGTCAAGGGCGGGGTATAAATCCAGTCTCCTTCTTCTTTTACCTCACAGGGTGTCTGTTGTGGGGAGGGGGAAGGGAACGGAGTTTGTAAGCCGCTCTGAGACACCTTTGGGGAGTGAAGGGCGTGGTATAAATCCAATCTCTTCTTCTTCTTTTACCTCACAGGATGTCTGTTGTGGGGAGGGGAAGGGAAAGGAGATTGTAAGCCCCTCTGAGACACCTTCGGGTAGTGAAGGGCAGGGTATAAATCCAGTCTCTTCTTCTTCTTCTTCTACCTCAGAGGGTGTCTGTTGTGGGGAGAGGAAGGTATGGGAGTTTGTAAGCCACTCTGAGACTCCAAGTGAAGGGCGGGGTATAAATCCAATCTCCTCCTTCTCTTCCTCTTCCTCTTCTTCTTCTTCTTCTTGAGCAAAAATTCTACTTTGCGAGCTACCGGCACTACAGTCGTGAGCGAGCGATTTGGCTGCTGCGTTAAATTAGTTTGCTCCGGAGCCCTCCCTTCCCGAGCTAAGGCAAAAACGTGTGAGCCGGAGGCTAAGAGACTGTGAGCTAGCTCACACTCACTCAGGTTAGAGGGAACACTGCCTAGTATGCTCCCAGGGGAGCATTGGGCTCAGTAGGTCAAATTCTGTTGGTGGTCCTCAGCCCTTGAGATCTCCGGCTGTCCTTGACCAGAGCCAGGGCTCCCACCTGGTGGATCTCTCTGCCCGAATAACTTCCCTGCCCTGCGGGACTGGATGCAGTTCCGCAGGGCCTGTAAGGGAGAGGTGTTCCGCCAGGTGTTTGGTTGAGGCCAGTGACGGTATGATCCCGGCCACAGCTCCGTGGCTCTCCAAAGAAGCAGCAAGTGAGCTGTGACCCGCCAACTCATTACATGCCTGGAATCTGGCATTCGGCGAGCTGTTGGCCTTCAGCCTAGAAATATTTGCCGCCACCCCCACCCCCCCACTGATGGGCGGTTTAGAGAATCTTTCTTTGCAGATGAGCAGATAATTCCTGTTTTCCATCAGAATTAAGCACTTCCTGCCTAATCATCTCACCGTTTAGCAATCAGATGGCGTAGATCTGATATCTGGAAGTCGCTTTCCCTTTTCTTTGCTTCTCTTTGGAATTTGTCCAAAGAGTCCTTAGAGTAGTTCACAATTGTGATTCAGAGGAGATGGAAACAATCGAACGTGTATCCCTCTACTGTAGTTTGTATGATGACATTCGGGAAGCCTATCTAGAAGGTATTCTTAAGAATGATGCCAAGCAATCCCACCTAGAGATGTAAAATTTCCGGAAATTCCCGGGTTTTTATCGAGGGGAAACTGAAATTTTCAGAAAAATTGAAAAAACCGCTACATTAGCATTTCTTTTGTCTTTTCTAGATTGAAAGTCATTCTGTTACTTTAGGTACATAAAATATGACTATGGACATTTTTACTTGGCATGAAATTATCACAACTAGCATATTAAAAATATAGAGTATCCAAACAATTATTACAAACAGAATACCCATCCACATGCAAAAACAAAACTGAAACTTTTTTATTTTCTTCTGACAAAATCGCACTTCCTAAAGAAAGAAATGCATCTTGTTCTTGCATTGGAGAGTTCAGTTTGTAACCTAGGACTTGCTTGTCCTCAGTGTACAGAAATTAGATCAATCTGATACCATATATATATATGAATGAGAAATGATTTGGAAAATATTTGAACACCTTGTCTTAAAATATTTTATTCATCATGTTAAAATAAAACGTTCCATAATCAATTTCTTTTCTTTTCTTTTTTCAATTTTTCCAATTTTTTGGAAAAAAACAAAAAGGCTTCAGGAAAAAAACGGGGGGAAACAGTTTTTTCCTGAATTTTTCCAGTTTTTTCCGGGCCTTCACATCTCTAACAATGACAGAAGGTTGTATCGTTCATTGGCTTCGCAAAATATAGCGGTTATTGAAGCGGTTGCCAAGTTCTGTCACTGCCTTATAATGAGGAGGCTGTGTGTCAAATCCATGAACTGAATGGCGACTGTGTGATTATGATCTGTGCCAATAAAGGTTTTGAACTTGAACTTGAGTAGTTCACAGGATATCCAAAAAAAGAGGAGCCAATGAGCAATCAAACATATCTTTAAATTGTCATCTTAACACAGAGCAAGAGCCCAGGGGCCCCTTAAAGACTGAGCAGATCTGTGGCAGGGGAGGAGCTTTTGTGAGTCACGGCTCACTTCCTCAGATAGATCGAGATGGGTGGCCGTGTCAGTCCGTCTGTAGCAGGAGAAAAGAGCAAGAGTCCAGGAGCCCCTGAAAGACTAACCAAATTTGTGGCAGGGGAGGAGCTTTCGTGCGTCACGGCCAGTGTTCCCTCTAAGCTGTGGAGTCTTGTGAGCAAAGATTCTACTTTGTGAGCTACTGGCATTAAAGTTGTGAGCGAGCGATTGGGCTGCTGCATCAATTAGTCTGCTCTCTGGAGCCCTCCTTCCTGAGCTACGACAAAAGTGTGTGAGCTGGAGGCTGAAAAACTGTGAGCTAGCTCACACTAACTCAGCTTAGAGGGAACACTGGTCACGGCTCACTCCTTCAGACACGCCACCGCAAATTCTGTTCGTCTTTAAGGTGCTGCTGGACCCTGGCTCTTTTCTACGGCCACGGACAGACAAACACGGGGACTCGTAGTGATCCGTCTCCACGGAAGGCATCACATTTAACCTTGTGAAGAATCGCTCCACTCTACAAGGTGTAAGGACAGATGGACTCATCCAGTATTCCCTCTAAGCTGAGTGAGTGTGAGCTAGCTCACAGTTTTTTAGCCTCCGGCTCACACATTTTTGTCTTCGCTCAGGAAGGGGATGGCTCCAGAGCAAATGAATTTATGCAGTAGCCAAATCGCTCGCTCACAGCTTTAATGCCAGTCGCTCACAAAGGAGAATTTCTGCTCACAAGACTCCACAGCTTACAGGGAACATTGCTCGTGTCCTAGCTGTATCAGAAGAAGTGACTCACGAAAGCGCCTCCCCTGCCACAGATGTTGTTAGTCTTTCAGGTGCCACTGGAGCCTTGCTCTTTTCTCTGGCTAAAGACAGACTAGCACGGCCACCCGTCTTGATCTGTGAAAACTAAGAAAGTAAGAAAAGCCAATAAGGAAAGACTTTCTTGCAACGTAGATCGAGATGCGCGGCCGTGTTGGTCTGTCTGTTGCGGCAGGAAAGAGCGAGAGTCCAGCAGGACCTGAAAGACTAACAAAATTGGTAGGCTGCATCCAGTCCCACAGGGCAGGGAAGTTATTCAGCAAAGAGATCCACCAGGTGGGAGCCCTGGCTCTGGTCAAGGACAGCCGGATATCTCAAGGGCTGGGGACCACCAACAGATTTTGACCTACTGAGCGCAGGCTGCAATCGTGTCCCCTCTAAGCCTCCTCTTTCCCAGGCTAAACAGACCCAGCCCTTTCAGCCTTTCCTCATAAGTCTTGGATTCCAGCCCTCTCACCATCCTGGTTTCCCTCTTCTGGACACGCTCGAGCTAACTCATGAATCATAGAATGTTAGAGTTGGAAAGGACCTTGCAGGTCATCTAGTCCAACCCCCTGCACTCTGCAGGAGCACAGCCGGAAGATAGCCCTCCATACCTACAACATACCCGGAGCAAGAGAGAATAGATCCGCTCCGTCTTCTACATGACAGCCCTTCAAATACTTGAAGACTGCAATCATGTCCCCTCTAAGCCTTCTCTTTCCCAGGCTAAACATACCCAACTCTTTCAGCCTTTCCTCGTAAGACTTGGATTCCAGCCCTCTCACCATCCTGGTTGCCCTCTTCTGGACACACTCGAGCTAACTCATGAATCATAGAATGTTAGAGTTGGAAGGGACCTTGCAGGTCATCTAGTCCAACCCCCTGCATTCTGCAGGAGCACAGCCAAAACATAGCCTTACATACCCACAACATACCCAGAGCAAGAGAGAATAGATCCGCTCCATCTTCTACATGACAGCCCTTCAAATACTTGAGGACTGCAATCGTGTCCCCTCTAAGCCTTCTCTTTCCCAGGCTAAACATTTTTTTTAACCATAATATTTTATTAGATTTTAATTCAGAACATAACAAATAAATACAGGTTCTCAAACAACATTTTAACAATTTTTCATATATATGTCAGTGTGTATACAGACTTCCAATTTGACTTACTCAAATACTGATAGAAGTTTGCTAGCTTATCAATAACAATGATTATTGTGCTGCACTAATCGTTTTCCAATTTCCCAGGCTAAACATACCCAGCTCTTTCAGCCTTTCCTCATAAGACTTGGATTCCAGCCCTCTCACCATCCTGGTTGCCCTCTTCTGGACACACTCGAGCTAACTCATGAATCATAGAATGTTAGAGTTGGAAGGGACCTTGCAGGTCATCTAGTCCAACCCCCTGCACTCTGCAGGAGCACAGCCAAAAGATAGCCTTACATCTAGACAACATACCCAGAGCAAGAGAGAATAGATCCGCTCCGTCTTCTACATGACAGCCCTTCAAATACTTGAAGACTGCAATCATGTCCCCTCTAAGCCTTCTCTTTCCCAGGCTAAACATACCCAGCTCTTTCAGCCTTTCCTCATAAGACTTGGATTCCAGCCCTCTCACCATCCTGGTTGCCCTCTTCTGGACACGCTCGAGCTAACTCATGAATCATAGAATGTTAGAGTTGGAAGGGACCTTGCAGGTCATCTAGTCCAACCCCCTGCACTCTGTAGGAGCACAGCCGAAAGATAGCCCTACATACCTACAACATACCCGGAGCAAGAGAGAATAGATCTGCTCCATCTTTTACATGACAGCCCTTCAGATACTTGAAGACTGCAGTCATGTCCCCTCTAAGTCTTCTCTTTCCCAGGCTAAACATACCCAAACTCTGTCAGCCTTTCCTCATAAGACTTGGATTCCAGCCCTCTCACCATCCTAGTTTGCCCTCTTCTGGACACGCTCGAGCTTGTCAACATCCTTCCTAAAATGTGGTGCCCAAAACTGGACACAGGACTCCATGTGAGGCCTGACCATAGCAGAATAGAGCGGAACTACCACCGCCCGTGATCTGGACACAGTGCTTCTGTTAAGGCATCCAAAGATTGCCTTAGCTTTCTTCACAGCCACATCGCACATGCATATTAAAATAAAATGTCATTGCAGCAGCAGCTGCCACCACAATGTTGCTTTTAGTCTTTTGCGCTCCTTTTCTCCCCAGTGTGTTTTTAAAACTCACTTCCTTTTACCCGTGTGTTCCTATTATTGTCATCCGTTGTATTATTTCAATGCGGTGAAGTGTTTTTATAATGTAATGTGGGCGCCTTCTGCTGCAATCACTTTTGTTTTGGAAGTCTACGGACGCTATTTATGCATGGAACGACAGAGGAGCCTCCTGTGGGTTTCGAACACGTTCTTTTTGTAAAACGTCCTTACAAGCAATTTGTTGGATATGTGCCTATACATGCTATTGTGTTATGACCCCTAACCCATCTTTGTACTTTAATTACTCTAACATACAGTTTTGAGCATATATAGTTGTGAATTGTGGGTGGTCTTCCCTTGCCGGGTGTTATTTGGGGCTATACTTGTACGCTAAGGGTTCCTTATTGTCTTTGGCAGACTCGTTTTTAAGGCAAGGGACGTTTCAGAGGTGGTTTGCCACTGCCTGCCTCTGCGCCACAACCCTGGTATTCCTTGGAGGTCGCCCTTCCAAACACTAGCCAAGGCCGGCCCTGCTTTGCTTCCAAGATCTAATGGGATTGGGCAGGCCTGGGCCGTCCAAGGTCAGGGTGCATAAGGCAGAGCAACATACAGAGGGGAAGCCAAAGTGCACGGCTAAAACATCTCATCCTTTGCCGCCCCCTTCTTCTTCCGCCTCCAGTCTTTCCCAGCATCAGGGTCTTCTCCAGCAAGTGTTCCCTTCTCATTGGGTGGCCAAAGTCTTTGAGCTTCAGCTTCACGCAGGGCTCTTTTTGTAGAAAAAGCCCAGCAGGAACTCATTAGCATAACAGGCCACACCCAACAGCAGAAACTCACTAGCATATTAGGCCACACCCTGACAGCACCACTCATTAGCACATTAGGCCACACCCCCATGTTACCAGACGTGTAGTCATCCAGCCACACCCACCTTTCCCTTCTTATTCTGTTGACCTTGTTTGTTGTCAAAACCCAGGGCCTTTTTTTGTAGCAGGAACTCCTTTGCATGTTAGGCCACACACCCCTAATGTAGCCAATCCTAATGAGTTTCTGCTGTTGGGTGTGGCCTATTATGCTAATGAGTTCCTGCTGGGCGTGGCCAACTCGGGAGCCAGCCGGAACTCCGTTCCTGTGCGTTCCTGCCCAGAAATAGCCCTGATCTTCAGTATCTCTGGTCTTCCAGGGAACAGTCAGGGTTGATTTCTTTTAGGATTGACTGATTTGATCTCCCTGCAGTCCAAGGGACTCTCCAGAGTCTTCTCCAGCACCATAGTTCAAAAGAATCTATTCTTCGGCGCTCGGCCTTACTTATAGTCCAACTCTCGCAGCCATACCTGACTACTGGGAATACCATTGATTTGACCATGCGGACTTTTGTTGGCAGTCACGTTTCCTAGAGAATTGCAAAGGTGCCGACAGGCTTAAAAAGGTTGGGGACGCCTAGGCTATAAGTGCTGCTGGACTTGAATCTAGCGCCACCTTAACCCAGAAGCATAAGCAATTCCACCTTTCTTCTTCCCATTTTCCCAAGGTGCCAGTTCCACCAATTTTAGGGTTTTACCAGTTGAAAGAAGAAGAATCGCAGTGGAAGTTAACGGTGCACCTGAAGCTTCATGAGAGCGTGAAAAACACTTTCGAGTACTGCGAGGCCCGCATTCCCTTTTTCAATAGGTAAGAAAACTGAAATACTTCCTTCTTGGAAACAGAACTTTCGGGAATTGCAACCCAAAGAGACAGCTTTAAAAGGAGATTACTCAGACGGATGGAAAAGAGGTCTCTCAGTGGCTACTAGTCATGGAGAATAAAGGGAACCTCCATGTTCAGAAGCAGTCAACCTCTGAATCCCAGTGCTAGGAGGCAGGATCAGGGTAAGGCCTCGGCCTCCGTGCCTTGTCGTTGGTTCTCCAGAGGAACAGGTTGGCCACTGTATGAGACAGGATGCTGGACTAGATGGACTCCTGGTCTGATCCAGCAGGGCTTTTCTGATGTTCTAATGAAGGCCTTGGCCTCTCTGCCCTGTTCTTGGCCCTCCAGAGTAACTGGTTGGCTGCTGTGTGAGACAGGATGCTGGACTGGATGGACCTTTACTGGTCTGATCCAGCAGTGCTCTTCTGATGTTCTTATGAAGGCCTCGGCCTCTGTGCCCTGTTGTTGGCCCTTCCAGAAGAACTGGCTGGCTGCTGTGTGAGACAGGATGCTAGACTGGGTGGACCTTCACTGGTCTGTTCCAGCAGGGCTCTTCTTGTGTTCTTATGAAGGCCTCGGCCTCTCCGCCCTGTTGTTGGCCCTCTAGAGGAACTGGCTGGCCACTGGGTGAGAGAAGATGCTGGACTAAACCAATGATCTGACCCCGCAGGGCTCTTATCTCCACTGTCCGGGCCCGCCAGTCCTCCTTCCCGCTCCCCTTCCCCAGCTTGCCTTACTTGCCCAGGTCGCTGTCGGCAAACTGACTTTTGTGTCACCCTCTGTTAACGCCGACCCGAGTTGTGATATTTGTCCCTTTTGTGTGTTTGGTGCGACGCACCCTTTATGCACCGTTCTATGCGGTGGCTCACGTGGTTAAGACGCTGAACTGCAAGCTGTGGAAGGTCGGTAGTTCAGCAGTTCGAGACCCGAGTGTGCCACATGACGGAGTGAGCTCCCGTCTCTAGTCCCAGCTCCTGCCAACCTAGCAGTTCGAAAGCAAGAAATTGCAAGTAGATAAATAGGGACCACTTCGGTGGGAAGGTAACAGCGTTCCGTGCGCCTTGGTGTTTAGTCATGCCAGCCAGATGACCACGGAAGCATCTTCGGACAGCGCTGGCTCTTCGGCTTTGAAACGGAGATGAGCACCGCAACCCTAGAGTCGGATTCGACTGGCTTTCGAGCAAGGGAGACCTTTACCTTTACTAAGGCAGGGACCTTCATGGGAGCCTTGGCCATCTAGTACCGTGCATTAGAACCGGCAACTGGTGGTCCGGAAGATTCGATCAGAGTGTTCTTTACAGTTTGCCAGCCCAGCTGTGATGGAACAGGGCACACTTGCCATTCTGCGTGGGGCATCTGCTAAAATTGCTCTCGCAAGGTGTTCGGACCAGAGCCAGCGTGGGGTAATGGTTAAGAGCGGCAGACTCTGACCTGGAGAACCGGGTTTGATTCCTCCTCCACATGAAGCCTGCTTGGGTGATTTTGGGCCAGTCATGGCTCTCTCCAAATAAGAATAGACTGGACTTATACCCCGCCCTTCGCTACCTGAAGGTGTCTCAGAGCAGCTCACAATCTCCTTTCCTTGTCCCTCCCCACAACAGACACCCTGTGAAGTAGGCGGGGCTGAGAGAGCTCTCTCGAGAACTGCTCATGAGAGGACAGCTCTGACAGAACTTGTGACTGGCCCAAGGTCACACCAGCAGCTGCATTGGGAGGAGTGGGGAATCAAACCCTGTTCTCCCAGATTAGAGTCCGTGCCCTTAACCACGACACCAAACTGGCTCTCAGACTGCAGTCTCTCTTCAGACTGCAAAGATCAGTCCCCCTGAAGAAAATGGCCATTTTGGAGGGTGGTCCTTTTAGCTGGAGATGCCAGAGATTGAACCTGTGGCTTTCTGCATACAAAGCAGATGCTCTACCACTGAGCCACGGCCCCTCTAAGTAGGTAATTAACTCGAGATGGATTGAGTCAAGTTGAAGAAGAGATCGGATTTATACCCCGCCCTTCACTACCCACAAGAGTCTCAGAGCGGCTTACAAACTCCTTTCCTTTTCCCTCCCCCTCAACAGACACCCTGTGAGGCAGGTGGGGCTGAGAGAGCTCTCTCGAGAACTGCTCCTGAGAGAACAGCTCTGACAGAACTTGTGATTGACCCAAGGTCACTAGGGACAAAAGTGGGGGGGGGGGACAAACTCAACCCTGAAACCTAGGATCAAGAACCTAAAGAGGTAAGTCAAACAGAGTAGAGGGCCAACAATAAACACTTAATGTATTTAATATAAAATACATGTATTTATTAGCAAAAAATCAAAAAACATAGAAGGGCCCAATCACACCTCATCTAAAAATACCAAAATCTAATACACAAGGGCCAATGGACTTGACCTGACGCGTTTCAGCCTGTTTAGGCCTTCTTCAGAGGTCAAACACAGTGAGGAATGAATTGGCTTCTATCGTAATAACAATAGAATTATGCAACATGGATAAAAAATGGACCAGAAAGGAATTGTTCCAAAGTGAAACCACTAGGCACAGAATAAAAGTATAAACGAGGCCTCCAAAGATGCAATCGCATGCCAAATGATATTTCACTGATAATAATTTCTGGTCCAGAAAGCGCCTTCCAATGATTGTTTCGTGGAAGCCAAAGTGTCCTCAGCAAAATTGTCCCTCACAAGATAACTGTTGTGGGAAAAGGAAGGGAAGGCAATCGTAAGCCACTTTGAGACTCCTTAAGGTAGAGAAAATCGGTGCATAAAAGCCAGCTCTTCTTCTTCCTCTTCAACAGCTTTGCTACTGATACGTGCCCAGGGGTCGTTTTGTAGAAAAAGAGGTGCAGAACCTCATTAGCATAACTTATTTGCATATGCCACCCCCCCTGACATCACCAGAAGTGTGTCAGAAGGCAACACCCACCGCTCAGGCTCCACTGGACTGTTTTGGATTGCTAGCTATTGGGGGGGACGGGACGTGCAGATCTGTCCTGGCAGAGGAGAGAGAGCTTGTACCTGAATAAAACTTGGTCTTAAAGGTGCCACTGGACTGTTTTGGGCCGGGGGGCAGGGGGGGGCTCTGCAACTTACCTGGCTGCTTCTTGCTCTGACTGAGGACTGCTGGGAGCAGTGGGTGGGGCTTGTTGCATGTGCCCGCCCCCTGGGCTCTTTACTGCCGGAGCTCCGCTCCTGTGCGCTCCTGCAGGAAATGACCCCTGTACGTGCCAAAGGGTCTTTCTCCCGTTATCCACCAGTCACCGGCGGCGTACTGTGAATTCACACAATGCTCCTTGCGTGGGCCATTGTTTCACCTGTGCATCCTTCGCGGAGGCGTCTCTCGGAGGTATTGCTTGCTGTTAACTCCCACTGCTGTGTTTTCCTCCTTGCGGACAGGGGCCCGATCGCCCACTTGGAGTACAAAATCACCTACGGCCAACTCGAGGTGTCGAAGGAGAAGAGCTTGCTGGTTTGGGTCATCGGTAAGACTTGGGAGCCGTTTTTTCTTTCTAAGCCGGAGGAGGGGAGTTTGTTGGCGCGCACTTGGAGATAAGGAGGCAGCGATGATATTTCCTGTGGGGGGGCCCAGCGAGAACTCCTGAACGGCGCTCCGCTCTTTCTCAGTGGGCTTTGTAAGAAGGGCTCTTCATATGGTCCCCTTAAGCAAGAGGCTCTGCTTTTCTAGGAGTTCCCACCCCAGTGGGTACACGCCAGTCAGCAGGAAGACGGAGACCCCCAGAATGTTACTGCTAGGGATTAAACAGCTTATTGAAAGGCGTTACTGGGTCACACACAACAAAAGCACATTTCGAACTGAATCAGATGCGTGATACAGGAATACACGAACAAGGCACCGGATGCAGAACCATCAGTAAGATGCAGGAGGCTGCGGGAAACCATATAAGCAGATGATAGACAGTCCTGACGCCAGAGTAAATAAAGTATAACTCTAAATCAGCTTCACTGGATGCCCTCAAGATCACAGTTCCATCAGCCTCAGTACCTCATCTGGTGTCTATGGGTAGCAGTACTGGCCTGCCTCAAAGGAATGTTGTGAAGATTGTCTGTGAAGTACTTTGAAAGTTTTAAAGAGCTATACGAGTGCTGGGGGGGGGGATTGACGCCGTATTGCTTAACTTCTTACTTCTTTTGCTGTCCCTTGGGTTGTCAGAATAACAGTAGAACCTGTTGGCACATTAAAGATGAACACACATGCTACGCTACAGGCTTCGAGTTGTATAAAGTAGTACATTCCATCGGCAGAGAGATATATATGCCCAAAACTGCAAGGGGGGGCACTTAATGCAGAGAGAAGCTAGAAGGGCCATTTTCCCAGAACGAGGCATGCGACGTTACATCGCAGGGTACAGAGGAAAATGAAAGCCAGTCAAAAGAGGGAACGGTTTGTTCCCAGTGTGTGTGTGTGTGTCTGAACGACTCGCAAACACTGACAACTTTGCAAAATAGGATGAATCTGAATGGTGCGCAGAATGCTGCCGGGAAGAACAGTCGTGTCTTGCAGAGAGCCAGCCATTCCCCGTTCAGGTTTTTCTTCTTCCCAGGAGATAGATCGAGGTGGTCGGCCGTGTCATTCTGAAGCAGTAGAACAAATCCAGCGTCCGGCGGCACCTTTAAGGCCAACAGAAGTTTATTCAAGGTATGAGCCTTCTTGTGCAAGGCACACTTCCTCAGAAACATTGGAATGGGAGGTGAGGTTCAGACTTAGAGACAGGGAGTGAACTGCAAATTAACATGTAACACGATGAAGACGTTTTAAGCTATGCCGGTTTGGTACAGTAGTTAAGTGCACAGACTCTAATCTGGGAGAACCGGGTTTGATTCCCCCACTCCTCCACTCGCAGCTGCTGGATGACCTTGGGCAAGCCATAGTTCTGTCAGAGCTGTTCTCTCAGGAGCAGTTCTGGAAAGAGCTCTCTCAGCCCCACCTGCCTCACAAAGGTGTCTGTCGTCGGGAGGGGAAGGGAAAGGAGTTTATAAGCCGCTCTGAGACTCCGAGTGAAGGGTGGGGTATAAATCCAATCTCCTCCTACTCCTCCTCCTCCTCTTCTTCTCTTCCCCACTCCTCCACATGCAGCTGCTGGTGTGACCTTGGGTCAGTCACATGTCCTTCTCTCAAGAGCAGTTCTGGAAAGAGCTCTCTCTCTCAGCCCCACCTACCTCACAGGGTGTCTGTTGTGAGGAAGGGGAAGGAGTTTGTAAGCCGCTCTGAGACTCCGAGTGAAGGGCGGGGTTTAAATCCAGTCTCTTCTTCTGCTTCTTAAAACATCTTCATTTTTTTAAAAAACATTTTTATTTGAGAAATAAATCAACAGAAGGAAAGTCGTATAACAATACTTATACATAATACAGATTATGTGGTTGGACAGAGAAACAATATATAACATAATGGAATCGTTTCATACAGTAGTCTTGGATGTATTAGGTAATAAACCAAAAGTAAAATAGTAAGATATATTTATCTAAACATCAACCTTATAATTCAGGCGAGTTAATAATCTTGAATAAATCATAACTTCTATTAATTATAGAAGAAGAGTTTAAATTTAGCATTTCTCATTGTTTCCCAATCAAATTTATCTATATTAATTTTGTCTAATATAGTAAAGGTAAAGGTTCCCTTGCTCGAAAGCCAGTCCGATTCTAGGGTTGCAGTGCTCATCTCCGTTTCCAAGCCGAAGAGCCAGCGCTGTCCGAAGACGTTTCCGTGGTCATGTGGCCGGCATGACAAAACACCAAGGTTCACGGAACGCTGTTACCTTCCCACCGAAGTGGTCCCTATTTACCTACTTGCAATTTCTTGCTTTCAAACTGCTGGGTTGGCAGGAGCTGGAACTAGAGACAGGATCTCACTCCGTCATGCGACACACTCGGGTCTCGAACTGCTGGACTACCGATCTTCCACAGCCTGCAGTTCAGCGTCTTGACCACTATAGGGTACCGTATATTTAGTGGACTCATCATATCCCATTCTGTTTGATTTTCAGTATAAGATATATTAAAATTTTCTCCCATATCTTGTGAACCCATTGCTTAAAACATCTTCATCACGTCACGTGTTAATTTGCTGTTCTGCCTCTGTAAGTCTGAACTTTACCTCCACGTTCCAGTGTATTTGAAAAAAGTGTGCTTTGCACATGAAAGCTCACACCTTGAATAAACCTCTGTTGGTCTTCAAGGTGCCACCGGACTCTAATTTTCTTCTTCCCAGGAGGTGCGAGTAGGGAGGTATTCTGTTTGGTTCCGCACCCTGCGGCTGCCATCTTGGGTCAAGACCGCCTCCTGTGGAAGCCATTTTTGGGGTGCTGCTCACGTAGGGTTGCCAAACCCCCCTGTTTGCCAGGGGTCCCCCGTTTGGGGGGGGTCTACCCACCGCCGGCCAGATGGAAGCCCCACCCCCAACACACACAGCCACCCCTCTCTCTCCCTTTAAGTGTGTGTTTCATCCCAAGCGCGAACTCCGCAAGCTTGCAGGGAAATGCCAGCTTCGTTCTTAAAAGGGAAGCGCAGCTGCTCTTAAAGGGGAAACGCCGGCTGCCAGCTACTTTAAGTGCAGGGAACTGCCGTTTCTGAAGATCCGGCGCACGGGCGGGTGGGGAGGGGGGCAGACGTCCCCAACGTGACGATGTCACGTTGGGGATGCCCCACCTCCTCCAGGAACGCCCCCGAAGTCCCCCGCTGGGGGTGGAAGATGGACTTGGCAACCCTATGCTCACGGCCCCCTCAAAATTCCCAGCGTGCCCACAGCCTCGAAGAATTTGGAGACCTCCTGGGCTGCATGATTGATCTCGAAGCATCCTGCTTGTGAATCCCCTTAAAAACCTTTGCTTTCTTTTTCGCTTTAAAGGGCAGAAATTCCCCAAGTCGTTGGAAATTTCCCTGACCGGAACGGTGGCGTTTGGGCCCGCGAGTCAACAGCAAGCGGCTGATCCCGTATGCACCGGAAGCACCGCCTACGTCAAAGTAAGCAGCAGTCGTCACAAAGAGGCAGGAAGTGTGTCTTAAAGTGGCTGATAGATGGAGGGCCTTGGACGGGAAGGCGGCAAGGGGGTATAAGAACATCAGAGAAGCCATGTTGGATCGGGCCAGTGGCCCATCCGGTTCAACACTCTGTGCCGCACAGTGGCCAAAACCCAGGTGCCATCAGGAGGCTCACTAGTGGGCCCAGAACTCCAGAAGTCCTCCCACTGTTGCCCCTCCCCCCAAGGCCCAAGAATACAAGAACATAATGGAAGCCATCTTGGATCAGGCCAAAGGCCCTTGCAGTCCAACGTTCTGTGCCACACAGTGGCCAAAACCCAGGTGCCCTCAGGAGGCTCACTAGTGGGCCCAGAAGTCCTCCCACTGTTGCCCCCCCCCAAAGTGCCAAGAATACAGAGGATAAGAACATAAGGGAAGCCATCTTGGATAAGGCCAAAGGCCCATCCAGTCCAGCATTCTGTGTCACACAGTGGCCAAAACCCAGGTGCCCTCAGGAGGCTCACTAGTGGGCCCAGAACTCCAGAAGCCCTCCCACTGTTGCCCCTCCCCCAAAGTGCCAAGAATACAGAGGGTAAGAACATAAGGGAAGCACTGTTGGATCAGGCCAAAGGCCCATCCAGTCCAACACTCTGTGTCACAAAGTGGCCAAAAATACCAAGTGCCATCAGGAGGTCCACCAGCAGGGCCAGAACCCCAGAAGCCCTCTCATGGTTGCCTCCCGAGCACCAAGGTTACAGAGCATCACTGCCCTGGACATAGGAATGTAAGAGAAGCTCTTTTGGATCAGGCCAATGGCCCATCCAGTCCAACACTCTTGTGTCACACAGTGGCCAAAACCCAGGGGCCATCAGGAGGTCCACCACGGGGGCCAGAAATCCAGAAGCCCTCCCACTGTGGCCCCCCAAGCACAAAGAACACAGAGCATCATTGCCCCAGAAATAAGAATATAAGGGAAGTGATGTTGGATCAGTCCAACAGCCCATCCAGTCCAACACTCTTTGCCACACAGTGGCCAAAAATACCAGGTGCTGTTAGGAGGTCCACCAGCAGGGCCAGAACCCCAGAATCCCTCCCACTCTTGCCCCCCAAGTACCAAGGATACAGAGCATCCCTGCCCCAGACAGAGTGTTCCATCTATACCTTGTGGCTAATAGCCACTCAGGGACCTCTGCTCCATATGAGAACAAAACAGTGAGATCTTGGAAGCGAAATGCCAAAATTTGAGTTATACACAAATATTAACTGTTTTTCGGGTCCTGCTTCTATTGCTGCTGGAACTGCCGCCCTTCCGTACATCTGGATCATAACGCATGTTCCCCCTGCAGTGGAAATGAAAAGTCCGTTCATCCATTTCACTGTTTTCCGCTTGGCTGTCTTTAGCTTTATTTCAGGATCCTGGATTTCACGCTGACCGGCTGCTACACGGACCAGCATTCCGTCCAGGTCTTCGCTGCCGGCAGACCAAAGATCAGTGCAGGTCAGTGCAGGTTTATCCCTCTTGGAACAACAGAACGTGCTTCGGGAGCCCACCGGTATTAATAGGCATTCTCCCCACGGATGATAGCATTTTAGCGGCATTCGATTTCTAACCAGCAGTGTGGGTGATCTCATCGAGAAGAATAGTTTCCGAGGTAGCCGAGTTGATCTGCAGTAGAATCCTAGAATCGTAGAGTTGGAAGGGACCCCCCAGGGTCATCTAGTCCAACCCCCTGCACAATGCAGGAAATTCAACCCAGCAGGAACTCATTAGCATAATAGGCCACACCCAACAGCAGAAACTCATTAGCATATTAGGCCACACCCCTGCCAGCACAGCTCATTAGCACATTAGGCCACACCCCCATGTTACCAGAAGTCTGGTCATCCAGCCACACCCACCTTTTGCTTGTTATTCTGTTTACCTTGTTTGTTGTCAGAACCCAGGGGGGTTTTTGTAGCAGGAACTCCTTTGCATGTTAGGCCACACACCCCTACTGTAGCCAATCCTAATGAGTTTCTGCTGCTGGGTGTGGCCTATTATGCTAATGAGTTCCTGCTGGGCGTGGCCAACTCAGGAGCCAGCCGGAACTCCGTTCCTGTGCGTTCCTGCCCAAAAATAGCCCTGCCTCCCACACACACACACACACGCACACAGTGACTAAGGCTCCCTCTAAGCTGTGGAGTCCTGTGAGCAAAAATTCTACTTGGTGAGCTCCTGGCATTAAAGTTGTGAGCGAGCTATTTGGCTACTACTGCATAAATGAGTTTGCTCTGGAGCCCTCCTTCCTGAGCTAAAACAAAAATCTGTGAGCCGGAGGCTAAAAAACTGTGAGCTAGCTCACACTAACTCAGCTTAGAGGGAACACTGACAGTGACCCCTGTTCCACGCCCAGAAGACGGTAAAAAAACCTCCAGGATCCCCAGCCAAACTGGCCTGGAGAACAATTGCTCCCTGACCCCAAAGTGGCGACCAGCGTTTCCCTGGGCCTGCAAGAAAGGGCCATGAGGACTAAGCACTGAGGCAACCCTTCCTGCCCTGCCTTCTCATGGTCTGCCTGAGTTCACAGAATCCGCATGGCTGTCAGATGGCCATCTAGCCTGTTGAATACTGGGTTCTAGACACATTGCAGTGATCAGCTCTAGTTTATTAAGTGATTCAGCGAACTACAAGGACAACTAGCAGGGCTTGAGCCCTGCTTATAAAGCATGCAGACACCACACACAATACACCTCCACTCCCAGTGATAGGCTGTTTACATTACACTACTTATCTACTGGTTTGCTCCAGGATCCTGGCGAGCTATTGTTCTAAAGCAGTAAGCTCAACCCGTTCCTGGTACAGCTTGAGGAACGGCTTAGTCTCAATACACAACATAGCCTCTGCTTAGAAACCTCCCAAGAAGGAGAGCCCACCTCCTCCCGATATATATTTCTCTATATATTTGCATATGCCACACACCCCGGCATCATCGGAAGTATGTCAGAAGGCAACACCCACCGCTCAGGCTCCACTGGACTGTTTTGGATTGCTAGCTATTGGGGGGGGGGGGCGTGCAGATCTGTCCTCACAGAGGAGGGAGAGCTTGTACCTGAATAAAACTTGGTCTTAACGGTGCCACTGGACTGTTTTGGATTGCTAGTTGGGGGGGGGCATGTAGATCTGTGCAGGAAGGAAGGGAAAAAGAGAAGGAAAGAAAGAGGGAGAGAAGGAAATAAGGAGGGAAAGAAGGAGAGAAGGAAGGAAAGAAAGAAAAAGAAAGAAAGAAGGAGGGAGGGAAAGAAAGAGGCTTCTTGCTCCTCGTGGCCTGGAGCTGCTGGCAGCAGTGGGCGGGGCTTGTTGCATGTGCCCGCCCCCTTGGGCTCTTTACTGCTGGAGCTCCGCTCCTGTGCGCTCCTGTGCGCTTCTGCAGGAAATTACCCCTGCCTGTTCTCATATACACTGGCACCATTTAGCCATAATTTTAGACTACCTGACCTGCTTGGGGGCGGCAGGGGCACATGCGCATGTGCAGATACCCCATCCAGGTGCCAATTGTGCTAATTAAACTGAACATGCTTTATTCCTACTATGGAGAGAGATCAAGATGGTTAGCCGTGTTAGTCTGTCTGCAGCCGTAGAAGAGAGCACAAGTCCAGTAGCAAAGAATATAAAAATTTCTGGCAGCATACGAGCCTTCATAAGTCACTGATGCAGATAGAATGTGAGTTTTGTCTTTCCTTATATCTCGGAGAGTGGAGTGATTTCAGATGCCGAATGACAGTAGCAGGCAAATGACAATGGCAGGTGCGATTGGATTAGGTGTGATATGCAGAGGAGTCATCGTTGTGGAGAAATCAGCATAGGTTATAAGACAGGAAGCCGAGGTCTCTATTTAGTTCAGGAGGATGCACTGTCTTGCAACTGATAATGAAGCACAAGATAATGCATCCTCCTGGACTGAATCAAGACCTCGGTTTCCTGTCTCATTAACAGTGCTGATTTCTCTGTGCCTTGTACCCCTCTGCATATCACACCTAATCCAATCATGCCTGCTGTTGTCATTCAGCCTCTGAAATCAGTGGCACCTTGAAGACCAACAAAGTTTTATTTAAGGTGTGAGCTTTCGTGTGCATGCACACTTTGTCAGACAGTGAAATGGAATTTCAGAACATAGTTGTGTACAATGCTCCCCTTAAGCTGTGGAGTCTTGTGAGCAAAACTTCTACTTTGTGAGCTGCTGCGGAATAATAAATACTGTGGGATAATAAATACTGTGGATAATAAATTTTACAATCAATGTATGTTGGAATGTTGATTGTAAAATTTATTGTTATCATTCTTGCTTGGTCTTTAAGATATTTGGTAGTATTGTTAATAAAGTTTCTACTTTAGAGCAGTTTAGGGCTACATAGCGTTTATATTCCCATTGATTTGGCTGTGTTCCCGGTTTTTCTTAGCATAAATGACTTTGTGAGCTACTGGCCTTAAAGTTCTGAGTGAGCAATTTGGCTGCTGCATACATTAATTTGCTCCGGGGCCATCCTTCCTGAGCTAGGACAAAAATGTGTGAGCTGGAGGCTCACAGTAACTCAGCTTAGAGGGAACACTGGTTGTATATATCGAGAGAGTAGCTTTGACAAGTTTTGACAAGCCACACTAAATATATACAACTATGTTCTGTAATTCCACCTCAATGTATCTGAGGAAGTGTGTGTGCCCACGAAAGCGCACGCCTTCAATAAACCTTTGTTGGTCTTCAAGTTGCCGCCGGACTCTAACTTTGTCCTACTGCTTCAGACCAACACGGCTGACCATCTGGATCCATCTCATTTTCCAGTGTCCTCCAGTGACAAAAAATAAAAATTGATTAATTTAATCGGCCGGCAGAAGCATTGGACTGTGATCACTGTATTTCTATATATTGGGGGGGCAGAGATTTTGGCCACTTTCACACACACTGAATAATGCACATCCAGTGCCCTTTGCAGCTGGATTTTACTGTGTGAAGTGGCAAAATTCACTTGCAATCGATCGCTAAAGTACATTTATACTGCGTTCTTCAGTTTGTGTGCAAGTGCTTTTTTTATATATAATTATATTTATTGATTTTTCACATTTTATACAAAAAGGAAACACAAGTTTAACAATGTTTCATTTGGCAGATATCTTCACAAATTTAAATAAATACCTATCTCTCACAAAAGTATGCCTGTTTCATTGACTTAAACCAAAATTTCACTCTTGCAACCAGTTTTAGAATCTAGACCAATACTTTTCATATTTCTCTATACTCTTTTCTTCGATAACACAGGTTAATTTCTCCATTTCTGCTATATCAAACAGTTTAATAATAATCTCATCTTTAGAAGGAATACTATCCTCCTTCCATTTCTTAGCAAAAACAATTCTTGCGGCCGTTAACATCTGCATTGTGAAATAAGTTTCTTTGTTCAAAAATTTATCAGGTATCACATTTAACAAAAAAACATTATGGAGTCAAAGGAACCTTTTTATCTAGTGTGCAAGTGCTTTTAACAGGTGATGTTTGTTCCCTACTAGGGTGTCAAGAGCAAGGTTTATCGTAAGATATTGCCCATCAGCTTATTATTATTTTGTCTGCCTGTCTTTTCCATTTTAGCCCGAGAAGTGCTTTCTTCCGATTACTACATCTGGAATTCCAAAGCCCCGGCGCCTGTCGTGTATCGAACGTTGCTTTTCTAATTCCGACTCCGTTTTGTACCAGAACAAGAAAAGATGAATTTGCAGAAATATTTTTAACCCGCGTATTTAAGGCCTCCGGTGGGTTGTTTGAGGGATGGGACACAAATTACCTGAATTTCAATAAAAATATATTTCTCTCGATTGTTTTGAGCGGGTCCTCCCACCCCAGTTTGTTCTGTTGTGATGCACAGGATCTCTCCCCAGGTGGCCGGAACGACCAGTAGTCAATTACATTGCACTGTTGCCTTCACCAGCAGCACCAGATCATTAACACTGTGCAAATAACCTGCCTGTTTTTCTTGAGAGCCAGAAAGTGGAAGCTGATAAAAAGATTTGGGCAGCTTTGGAAGTACTAAGAGAATCTCCTGAAGCTAAAAATCTCTTTGAGAGCCAGTTTGGTGTAGTGGTTAGGAGCACAGACTCTCATCTGGGAGAACCGTGTTTGATTCCCCAACTCCTCCAAGTGCAGCTGCTGGTCTGACTTTGGGTCAGTCACAAGTTCTCTCAGAGGTGTTCTCTCACGGGCAGTCCTCGAGAGAGAGAGCTCTCTTAGCCCCACCTACCTCACAGGGGGTCTGTTGTGGGGAGGGGAAAGGAAAGGAGATTGTGAGCCTCTCTGAGAGTCCTTCAGTTAGTGAAGGGCGGGGTATAAATCCAATCTCCTCCTCCTAATGTTAGGTGTCTTTTTTGGTCCTGTAGGAACCAAATGTAGGAAATGTTAAGCCTTCGTCTGTTTGGCCGTGCCTTCCGTTAGAGAGACAGGAATAAAATAATGGACTGTATCTTACCGCTATAGATACTAAAAAGACCAATGAGTGAGTTCTAGACCAAGTCAAGCCTGAACGCTCTGCAAAAGCTAAGATAACTAAACTGAGACTATCATACTTTGATCACATTACGAGAAGACAAGACTCACTAGAAAAGAAGAAGAAGAGATTGGATTTATACCCCGCCCTTCACTACCAAAAGGAGTCTCGGAGGGGCTTCCAAACTCCTTTCCCTTCCCCTCCCCACAACAGACACCCTGTAGGCAGGCGGGGCTGAGAGAGCTCTGACAGAAACTGCTCTTGAGAGAACAGGTCTGAGAGAACTTGTGGCTGACCCAAGGTCACACCAGCAGCTGCATGTGGAGGAGTGAGGAATCAAACCCGGTTCTCCCAGATGAGAGTCCACGCACTTAACCACCACACCAAACTGACTCTTAACCACTGCACCAACCACTGCACTGCACCAAACTGACAACGATGCTAGGAAAAGCAGAAGGCAGGAGAGAAAGAGGAAGACCCAACATGAGATAGATGGACTCCATCAAGGAAACCACAAGGTCGCGTATCGACATGATCTGGTCGAATATGGGCCTATTGTATAATCTTAAAGAGGTTGAAATACTGCCCCCGACATACGCTGACCACAATCCGATCTCACTAACATTAACCAATACTCCCAAAATGGTGCGCTGGAGACTCAACACTTTTCTGCTCAGGAATGAACAACTCCTCAAGAATATGAAAACTGAGATAAAGGAATTATTTCAATTCAACATCAGACCCGAAACACAATTAACAGTGGTATGGGATGCCTTCAAAGCATTCGTAAGAGGGATCTTTATACGTGAAACAATAAGGAAAAGAAGGGCTGACAATGAAAAACTAAAGCAACTGAAGGACAAAATTCGAGAGCAAGAAGGAAAACTTAAGATAAACCCAGGTTTCAAATATCTTAAGGTAAAGATATCTAAACTACAACATGAAATCAATTGCATACTTAATGATGAGATCGCAAAAAAAATTAAATATGCCAAACAAAATTATTTTGAAAATGCGAACAAGCCGACCCGATGGCTAGCCTTTAAACTTAAACAAGAGGAGAAACAAAGGTATATTAAAATATTAAAAGATGGAAAAGGGGAAAATAAACACAAAATAGATGACTTGAAAGATATTGTCAAAAGCTTTTACAACAACTTATACAGGAAGGAAGCCACCGATATAGATGCTATCCAGACTTTCTTAAAGAATAAGATACATATAAAGAAACTTAACGAGGACCAAAAGAAAGCTTTAAATCAAAAAATAACTCTGGTAGAAATAACGGGAGCAATTAAAAACCAAAAGAAAAATAAATCCCCTGGCCCTGATGGGCTACCTGCTGAATTTTACGCAGCCTTTCAAGATGAGATTATCCCAATATATAAACAGATAGCAACAGGTATACCAGAAACAAAGGCAATACCAGGGTCTTGGACTACAGCACTAATTACACTAATACACAAAAAGGGTACGGATGACAAAGAAATTAAGAACTACCGCCCTATCTCATTGCTTAATGTAGACTATAAGATCTACGCCTATATAATGGCTCAGCGCATGAAGAAGGTTTTGCCTCAATTAATACACTCAGACCAGGCGGGATTTCTACCCAACCGATACATAAAACAAAATATTAGAACTATTTTGAACGCCCTGGAGTATTGTGAGACGGACATAAGTAGACAGCTGGCAATAATATTTATCGACGCCGAAAAGGCGTTTGATAATGTTAATTGGGATTATATGATTCAAAATTTAAAAGAAATAGATTGTGGCTTGGATTTTATCAATATAATAGAAACACTATACAGAAAACAAGAAGCAAGGGTTATAATTAACTCAGATCTGACTCCTGAAATAAATATTTTCAAGGGCACGCGACAAGGATGTCCTCTCTCGCCGCTCTTATTCATCTTAACAATGGAAGGTCTATGTGAGAATATCCGTAAAGATGAACGAATACAGGGGATTAAAGTAAGAAACCAAGAGTATAAAATCCAAGCCTATGCGGATGACATCGCCATTATTCTTCTAGATCCACTGCAATCAACACCACCTGTCTTAGAAGTGATGCATGAATTTGGGTACTTTTCGGGGCTGAAAATAAACAAAACAAAGACAAAAATACTAACAAAAAATTGTGATCCAACCCTAGAAAGAAAGCTGCAAGGGATAACAGATTTCAGTATAGAGAAAAGAGTCAAATATTTAGGGATAAACATTACAAACAGAACAAGTACACTGGTACAAGGCAACTATGATGGTCTTTTGATTCAAATTAAAAAGGATTTAGAAAATTGGTCCAAGTTACAACTTTCTTTAATGGGAAGAGTTGCGACGATCAAAATGGTCATATTACCCAGGGTACTATTCTTATTCCAAAATATCCCTGTTCTTAATAACTATAAATTTACCCAAAGCCTAGAGAAATTAACATCAGATTTTATCTGGGGGGGGAAGAAACCTAGAATAAAGACCTATTATCTACAGGGGACAGTAAAGAAGGGAGGATTGGCGGTACCGATTTGGCGTCTATACTATCAAGCCGCGGCAATGACATGGCTCCGTGAATGGATGCTGCTCAGAAACCAGAGGACTTTAAGCTTAGGAGGTCATAACTTAATGGCAGGTTAGCATTATTTCTTGAGTGAAGGCGCGGGAAAACACACATATTTTCGGCAGCACCGATTAAGAGCCAGTCTAATAAAAATATGGAAGGAGATAAAAATCACTCATTATGATAAAATACCTAGATGGATAGCCCCCCTGGAGGTCATATACTTACCAACACTGATGACGGAAACTCGGGCCTTAAGCTATGAGGTTTTATTAAACAAAAACAACGAATTAAAATCACAAGAGACCCTACAATCTCATCAGATTAAATTAACGTGGTGGGAAAGAAGTCAATTAACATCGAAATATAACAAGGATACCCGAATAGGTATCAATAAAAAGCTCACGGAGCTAGATAAAATTCTATTGGGTCCAGATGTAAAATTAATAGGCAAAATATACTCCTTCTTATTAGAAAATAGAGCTCAAGATAAAAGCAAGAACACACCTTTGACAAAATGGAGTAACAATTTAGGGAAAACAATTGACCCACGAAACTGGGAAGGGATATGGAAGAATATGAAACAGTTAAAGGCGATTTCACTAAAAGAAAATCTGTTCAAGATATGCTATCGGTGGTATTTAGCTCCTGCCAGGATAGCCAGGTTCTACCCTGGGTGTAGCAATATTTGCTGGAAGTGCAAAAGCCAAATTGGTTCGTTCTATCATGCCTGGTGGACGTGTGATGCGGTAAAGAATTACTGGAAAGAGATACACAAGATAATCACACAGGCAATGAAAATCCAAATACCACTAGACCCTGAAATATTCCTATTGAATATACTACCAGACAGTTGGGAAAAGAAAGACAAACATGTATTGACGAACTTAACAGCGGCAGCCAGAATTGTATTGGCTAGTCACTGGAAAAGAAGCGAAATTCCGGATAGGTTGGACTTTATAAATAAATTAATTGAGGTAATAGAAATGGACAATTTAACACAAAAACTCCGCGGAGGAACAAATTCAGTGTTTATATCTATGTGGTCAAACGTATATGAATGGATCGATAGAAATGTCTGAAGAAATCTGTTATGTAATATAATACGTTCGGAAGATCTATATCAGATCTGATATAGGATCAATTTTATATAGGGGGAGGGGAGGTGGGAGGTGGGAGTGTATAGGGTGTATGGGTGGGAGTGTATAGGGTGTATGGATGGTGGTTGTATCAATACTTATATATCAATAAACAATTATTAAAAAAAAAAAAAGAAACCACAAGGGCCCTCAGTTGGCAAGTCTGGAGCAAAGCTGTAAATAAGGAGTTTTGGAGGTCATTTATCCATACGATCACCATAACTTGAGCACACACAACACACACCGTGCCTCACTCTGGTGCACGAGGCGTTTCCACAAAGCATAAGAGTATCACAGGAAGAGCCAGTTTGGTGTAGTGGTCAGGAGCGCGGACTCTAATCTGAGAGAACCGGGTTTGATTCCCCACTCCTCCACTTTCAGCTCTCTCGGAGTTGTTCTCTCAAGGGCAGTTCTCGAGAGAGCTCTCTCAGCCCCCACCTACCTCACAGGGTGTCTGTGGGGAGGGGAAGGGAAAGGAGATTGTAAACCGCTCTGAGATTCTGGGTAGTGAAGGGCAGCGTAGAAATCTAATCTCTTCTTCTTTTTTAGGCCAGAGGAAAGCATTGCTCTTAACAGAATGGCAGGCTACTGCAGCTTCTTACAGTCTTCTTTATAAAAGTGTATGTCCT